TTTTAAGGCCGAAAATGCATCAAAATCATGTATTTTCACAATTCCAGAACCGGATCTCAGTCATGCATGGATGGATTTTGTTCAGATTTAGCACAATGTGTTGTACATATGCAGGTGCATTTCGGTCATGATCTGCTTTGAATGTATATGTCACTCAAGTATGAACGGAACGGGGACGTGTCATTGACAATGACTTGTTTTAAACAACAAGGGGTAGTTCGGGCGCATACTCTTAGCAGTGACATTTTAGATTTGCAAACACATGTTTTATTGTATTTGTTGAATCCGCTATGTGACATTGAGAAACACATTAAGAACTGTATGAATGTTTGTAATAATTTGACTTGTGTTTCAGTGATTCAATATATTGTGACATTGATTGACAGTTAATTATACAAGCTTAGCAGCACTTCTTTTTACCGGTTTATATTTTCGACATTTATTTATCAAAATCTCAACTCGTACACTATTTATTGTCATAAATACAACATACATTCATTGCTTTGATATTCATAGTCACATAGTGCACTTTGATGGGACATAATTGACATGTAGGTTTGAGAAAATACTGGAGCTTGGCATGAGCTGTTTACTACAGTGAGACTTGCAAGGAAATAATCGCTATTGTTTAGAAGCATATTATATATAGTCTACTTGAGCTTTTAAGCCTGTCCACCAGATTCATAAAATAGTTTCCTAGGATGATTTCTTTCTGGTATAAACAATAATTTATTTAGTTCACCATAGAAAACTATTGATATCGCAAAGATTTATTTATCTGTTGCTATTTTAGTTTCTGTTCACTCATTTGCTTGTTCGACCGAAATGTCCTCATGAATAATTTGAAACAAATGCTATTGTTCCCACAAAACTATTTTTCTATAATTTCTTTGTTAATATTAGACCAGGTGGATAACATTTCTCATTGAATACAAATCCTGATCAGATTTTTTGAAAAACATATTGAAAAAAAATATTTATTTGTGGTTTGGTCAGTAAGAGGATGGATGTCTTGGTTTGGTTGACTACGTCAGAAACCCATTGATAAACTTTTTAGAGCACGTCTTAAGGATAACTAGGCAAACAATTTGCCAATCACATGACTGTGTACAGCACATATTTCAACATGCATATATTGTTGTATAACCATTTATTTTCACTGGCTTTCAATTTCACTCTTTTGATGATTTATGCGATTTTCCCTGGTTTTTAACTTGGCAGGGAGTTCTATTGTTATTCTACACGTTCACATGGATTTAGTTTTACTTATCAGCGAAATTAACGAAATTAACTAGCGAATTATTAATGTGTTTGTAGTATCTAAGGCTGTCAATAAATAAGGTTCTCGTCCTAAGGAAAATTGAAAATTAAGATGATTTAATACCACAAGATATATGTTATTAAATTATGCTTAGGTTTACTTTGATCACATCATCTGAAATAGAAAACAAACATTTTCCCATTCTACCATGTATAGATCACTTTAGTGGAACATACAATTGTATGTGTAATTGTAAAATATATCTACACAAATTCTGTATTATTACAACTTAAAGATGAGAGCAGATTAATTGTTTTGATTTGAAGTCTACTCTATGTGGAGGCGATTTTGCGGGGGGGGGGGTGTCTGATCACCATCTCTCGCGCCGAAGGTAGGCTCGTCACCACTGCTATGTGATTATCAGTAGAGGCATGACTTTTATTACTAGTAACCTTTGAACTCCAAGGAAATATTAATTTGGGTTTTTGTGTGGGCATGAAATTGACAACTGTTAAAACCACACAGAAACTGTGCATTGTGATCGAATGTTTTTTTTTTATATATACAATTTTTTGCTCAAGGCCTGCAGCCAATAGGAAATTATGACTATCTGGTCCAAATAGATTATAGAAAATTACATAAAAATGTGTATAATGCACTGAAGGTTTGGCAACACAAAATTTAGCATTGAAAAGGTTAATCATTAATCAGACATTGGCGTTACATAATGGGTTAATTTTAACAATTATGCTTGAATTGTTAATTCCTTATGTAGAAATATAAAAACTAATTACTCAAAACAATCTCTTTATGAGGATGACTGTCTAGAGATTGTAACAATGTAACAATATAAATGGTATTCCTTCCCACATCTGCTACCTCCTAGAATTCTACATCACAGAGGGCGCCATTTATTGGCAAGATAAGATGTACTGTTCTAAATACTTATTTCCTGTATTGAAGGTGGCAATGGCTGTACTGCATATGATGTCATCATTATTCAAACATTCTTTGAGAAAATCCAGATAACCTGATATTCCAAGGTTTCTTTTTCTCCTTGATATTTGAAGGATTGGAATTGAAATACGATATGAAGCTAGATAGAAGTAAGTAGGTCTTGGTCATCTCAATGCCATTGCTGATTTTGTAACCTTCCACAAAGTAGTTTGGTTTGATCAAATTAGAAATTAAAAAAAAAATGAAGTTAGACATAGGTACACTTGTTTCCATGAAAATATTTTTTTCTGGCTGCTTGAAGGCCAAAATGTATGAATTTTGATATTTTGAGTGGGTGTAGTAAACATAATTTTTTTTTGTCAAGGCTTACATGACATTATCAGCAGTTTACTGTGCAAGTGTTCTACAACTTTCATCTCCACCACCAAAACATAACAAAATGATGGAAAAATGATAATTCTGTTCATCAATGAATGTTGTTCATTTTCCATTTCAGATTATGTCATTTTGAAAAATAGAAAATTTCTTGGTTCGTTGCCGGAACAATATGTACGGACCAGATCCAAACTCAGAATACAGGAAATGGAAAAAGATGAGAAGCTGGAAGAAAAACCCAAATCATCTTTAATTACTGAAATTGAAGATGGTCTGAGTGGAGATGAAAATAAAGGACCAGAACCAGAATATCAGATACCAAGAGAGCCACCAGAAGGTCATCCAGAATTCCTTGTAGCAGAAATCCAGTTACCAAATGTTGTAAGTTGCTGTTCTTTTATTTTGAAAATTAACTGAAATCACCTGAGAATCTGACATGTGAGTTCACATTTCAAATCTGAATGTGCAAGTACTCATCCGAGAAACAAACGTGAAAGTTCACAATTTCAAATCTCAATATGCGAGTACCGGTACTCATCTGAGAATCTGACATGTGAGTTTACAATTTCAAATCTCAATGTGCAAGTACTCATCTGAGAATCTGACATGTGAGTTTACAATTTCAAATCTCAATGTGCAAGTACTCATCTGAGAATCTGACATGTGAGTTTACAATTTCAAATCTCAATGTGCAAGTACTCATCTGAGAATCTGACATGTGAGTTTACATTTCAAATCTCAATGTGCAAGTACTCATCTGAGAATCTGACATGTGAGTTTACAATTTCAAATCTCAATGTGCAAGTTCCCATATGAGAAACTGAGTGAATTCACAATTTGAAACCCAATATTCAAGTTCTTATGTGAGAGCAGAAACAGGAAGAGAGCAAGCAGAAACTGGGTGAGTTCACAATTTCAAATCCGAATGTGCAGTTACTCACCTAAGAATCTGACATTCAAGTTCAGAATTTCAAACCCAATATGCAAGTTCTCATTTGAGAATCTGAGTGAGTGAATCAAAATCGCATTGTGCGAGTACTCACCTGAGAATCTGACATTCAAGTTCACAATTTCAAATCTCAATGTGTGAGTACTCACTTAAGAAGCTGACATGTGAGTTCACAATTTCAAACCCAGCTTGCAAGGTCTCATGGGAGAAACTGAGTAAGTTCACGATTAAAAATCTCAATGTGCGAGTACTCACCTGAGAATTTGAAATGTGAGTTCTCAATTTCAAACCCAGTATGCAAGTTCTCATGTGAGAACTGAGTGAGTTCACAACTTCAAATCTCAAAGTGCGAGTACTCACCTAGGATGCGGACATGCGAGTTCACAATTTCAAACCTATTTCGTAAGTTCTCATCTGAGAATTCAAAATCTCACTTCAAAATATGAATGTACAATTACTCATCTGAGAATCTTACATGTGAGTTTACAATTTCAAACCCAGCATGCAAGTTCTCATGGGAGAAACTGAGTGAGTTCACAATTCAAAATCTCAATGTGCGAGTACTCACTTGAGAATTTGAAATGCGAGTTCATAATTTCAAACCCAGCATGAAAGTTCTCATCTGAGAATCTGAGTGAGTTCACAATCCAAAATCTCAATGTGCGAGTACTCGACTAAGAAGCTGACATGCGAGTTCAGTTTCAAACCTAGTTCGTAAGTTCTCATCTGAGAATTCAAAATCTCATTTCAAAATATGAATGTACAATTACTCATCTGAGAATCTTACATGTGAGTTCACAATTTCAAACCCAGTATGCAAGTTCTCATCTGAGAATCTGAGTGAGTTCACAATCCAAAATCTCAATGTGCGAGTAGTCGTCTAAGCAGCTGGAACGCGAGTTCACAATTTCAAACCCGGTATGCGAGTTCAGAATTTCAAACCCAGTATGCAACTTCTCATTTGAGAATCTGACATGTGACCAACTAAATATTGCTGTTATTTTCCAGAAATCCAGTAAGACATTAAACCTAGATTTAGGTGAGGATAGAATATTATTACATGCTCATCCCAGTCTCTATCACCTTTATATTTATCTTCCTTATAATCTAAACCAAGAAGACAGTGGTGCACAGTTTAATAAAGATAATAAGGTAAGCATCAACATGTCACAGTATCCTATGGGATCATAGCAAGCTGAAAATCTGCAAACTTTAAACAAATGGGTAAGAAGGCATATGTTATTTATGGGAGAAGCAATTTCAGCCCCCAGTCGAGTCTGGCCCAGTCATGGCGAGTTTATTATTTCATATGATAATTCTTTTAGAATGAGTTTGTAGAATCTTCTGATTATGACTGGTCTGTTCTGCTGCGCCCTCTATAGTTGTCACCACGTTTTTGAGGTGATAAATATGCTAATGAGTAGCATGACTTGTAAGCTGCCAACCAATAAGAAAGGCAGCTTTTGGTCAGATCAGTTCTACACAATGATAACGCACATATGGCCTGACACATTTGCGCTAGTGCACACATAATTTCTTTCTTTGGAAGTGTTCTACTCCCAGGTTTCATAACGTCACTGCATGTCATGAATAATTTGTAGCAAAGAATACGCCTCAGAATAGACCAATCATAGTAATTTGGGAAAAACAATTTGTAAAATTGCCATGACTTGGCCAGTCTACCCCCTGCCATATCTCCCCTTATTACTTTACCTTCTGGTCATCAGAGTTTGTGAAAGAAATAGAACTTGTCAGTAAAAGTAAATAGTCGCATAACTACAGATCTCATAAAAAAGTTGCTTTATGCTTTTGTGCATTCGTTTCAGTATTCTTGTGAGAACGTCATATGTGTAACGTCTAATAACCAAGGTAGTACATAAACCTATTATTTCTACCAATATTATCAGTGTATTGTGTTCAATTACAGGTACTCACTCTTATATTAGCAGTACAATCATCATAACAACAAGTGACACATATTCCTGTACAGTGTGTACAGGCGACTCAATGAACTCCTCAGAAAACAGAAGTTTGTACAAGGGACCCAAGTAACTTATAAGGAGACAGAAACATCATGTAATATTTGCTGTATCGTTTGAACATCATTGTGGATGTGATATGAGGGAAGTGACGTCAGCAATGCTATAAATGGGATAATGAGGTTTACTGGTTACTAATACCATAAAAAAGTTGAAATGTGCTCACAATTTATGACAAGGATTCTGCATCTGAG